CTCATGAATGTTTTCAAACAATGGTGACATGTATGTACCAGAAAAAGGGACATGTACACTACCAGAAACACTCCTTAAAAATGACATATATGAAACATGTATTTTGACATTTTGACATAAAAGACAAAACAAAAAACAATGTTGAATGTCAGACATTTATGGATGTGTGTGTGTGTGTGTGCTCACATGTGCTTAAATTCATAACTGTTTTGATATGTAATCTTTCTTGTGAATTCTATTGGGATGTGAATTAAAGTTAAAAACTCCCTAAGAACAAGAACAGGTATTTGAAGCCACTATGAATTGCTCTTACCAAATCCCATTTCCATGCACGAAGGAATCTTTTATGTAATCATGAAAGGGAAAATCAAGACAGCAAACCAGTTTAGGTGAATGTAATATGGTTATGAAGAGGAGTTTGGAAGACTGTTAACAAACAGTATGAAAACTCTTTTTATTTAGTTAGACATCAGATAAAATAGGTTTGGTTTTCGACTTTGACCTATACATATTTTTAAATTATAATATTTATTGGTACCTCTGACCAATATATTTTTCTATGGGATGGGAGAACAAAATAGAGAAACTTAAATTACATATAACATTTCATAAAAAATCTCACTCACATGTGGAGTCTCACAAATTTTATTTTTTATTGTTATAACATGAACACACTCCCTCAGAGTTTTGCAAACAAATAGTAATATCGTAAATTTTGCATACAAAAATACTTTTTATACATTTTGTAGCACCACATACATACCAGTCACAATACACAGATTCTGCCATGTTGTACTACAATGTTCAAACATAATTGTCTCTTGCCATGTGAAAGTAACAAGATGAGTTACATGAAAATGAAATAAAGGGCTGTTATAAGGAAAGAGTAAAAGGGTTCTGAAATTTATAAATTGTGAGGTTTCACTGTGTATGGAACTTGTTGGGGTGATCATTTTGTAATCTGCAGAACTTTTGCTGTTTGAAATTACATGTTGTATTGAAAAAACATTTTTTTATATATAATTGAATGTGATATCAGTATATCTAATTAAAGCCACAGAAATCTGAAAATTAGCAAAGTTCTTTTCATGAGAAAACATGTGGTATCAGCACAACAAACAAACATTAAAAGTTCTTGCATATAAATACTTTTAAAACTTTAATGACCATGCATAATCTTTGCTCTAATTCAACAACTACTCACCAAATTTAATGATGCATTTTGTTAGCCTAAAGCCCAGAAAGCATGTACATCCTTCTCTTTTTCAGTTGTCTTATGTTTAATGAATGAATTTTAACTATTACCTTTTATGGAAATGCCATGAAATGTAATTTGTGAATTCACAGTGTATTTCAGAACAGTGTTGATAGATGTTTCTCTGGAATGTTTCAAAATGCCATTTGCTTCAATTTTCAATATGAAAGCTTCAAGAAACAGAAAACTCTTTAGCATGTGAAAAGAGGGAAATGGAGCAGAGCATCAAATAAATTCAAAGCCATTTTTGTTGAGTGTATTCACTGATAAAACATCTTACAAAAACATAAACCAAGTATTTTCATAGACAAAAGAAATAAATAGTTGATGTTCCAATTACATACACATTGTAACTAAATTATATGTTTAGATTTTATCAATATGTTGGACAAAAGATACAATTACTTTGATAATAAAGTGAGATATTGAAATAGTCTCATTAAATTTAAGATTCTGTTGTCATAATTGTAATTTACTTCAGAGCCTCTTTCTTTTTCAGATAGGGGTAAGTTTGAAGTTTCTTCATCAGGATTAGTAAATATGCTAAGATTTTACACTCGGTAATCATGACAGTTTCCTTTTCTTTTCACTTTGGAAGAAATTTCATGATCTTTTAGCCACTTATCACCTTATTCTATTAGATGACAAATTGGAATTGAATTGCTCTGACTTTAAATATGTGAGCATTTACCTTAAGTAGTGGGTTGCCTCTTTCATTTTTATTTTATATTTTTTCTTATATTGTGAGATGCAGGATTTGGCCTCATGTCTTGCTAAGCAATGAATGTGAGTGATGTACAAAAAAGCAAAAGGAAAATAAAGGACACTGACAAAGAGACAAGAGAGGAATATAGATGGATATGGACAGATTCATGTTTTTGACCAGAAATAACAAATTGATATATTCATGGCTAGGGCCCTAAGCTCCTTGTCTTTCAGAGGGATGTGTTTGTCCATGATGTAAACCAGTGTAAACTTTATATTTGTGTAAACTTATGGCACACTTACTGAATGACAAAACAACTCTTTTGTGTAACCATATTTGTGTTTTTTTCAAGGGTTGTTTATGGAATTTTAATGTTCAGGCTTTGTATGATACAGCATATTGCATTGAAAACTGATACTCATTAGATAAAACCATTCTTATAGCAATTGCAAGTCTTCATCTAAATTATCAATAAAAATAAGAATCCTCATTCTCTGCTAATACTAACAGTTCAAGAACAATTACTGACAATAGTTTTGGGAAGATTACCACATTAAAGACTGTGTTTATACTTCCCAAGCATGGTTGAATGAATCAGTTTTTTCTTTTGCAAAGAAGAGTCAAGCTAACTCTACTTACAAATAGCCAGCTTATGACTCCAGTGTTAGTTTAGATTTGTATAACAAAGACTAGGCTATTTTAAGCACTGCTAGATTCACAGTAGGTGCAGCATGCACAGTTGCACTCCAGTTATATTTCTCCAGGTAAGTTTCAAGTTCAACATTAAAGTGCACTTGATGTCATAAGATAGTATCTGTCCATGTTTCATTGGTTCTTATCATACCTTGCAAAAAATGCTAGAATTGACTTAAAGAGTTTATTACCCAGAAAATATTGTTTTATGCAACTTGAGAGGTAACATTTGCCATTTGAAGTTAGTTTTTGAGTTCAAGTGAAATCTAAACGAAGTGTACCTAGAGAAGTATTATGCCATCCTCATCTAAGCCAGACCCCAGTTGACAACCCATATCATCCTTTGGTAAATCAACACTGTGGTGACATAAGCCAGGTAAGCACACAGCTAATTTAGTAGAATTGATTGATATCAACATGTATGATTGTGTACTTATTTATTTTTTTGCTTTCAGTTTGGCTTTGTGTGCCTGATATTGCTTCTTTTAAACTGGGGCTTAGACTTATGTGGAGTACCAGTAACATAATAGCATAAAAGTTGTGTTCCTTTTCTTTTGTTTTATCCCTTAGACATCCTTCTCTCCTACCCTTTTGTTCACATGGAAAAATGTTTAGTGTGAACAAACTAGCATGGACATTATCAAACCAGTAATCATTACTTTTCAGTAGAACTTCCTTTAACATACAGTAACTTAAGTAACTCTGAAGGAATATTACTTAAAAGAAAATGAATATTTAAAAACTTACTTATCCTGTCTATTATTATAACTGACAGTGAAGATATTTAATCCTACCATGTTTAGATCTACATTTTTGGAGTACTTCTGAGAAAATTAAGTAATATTCCATTCAGTCAGATAATCCTGAGTGCCAAAAATTGTCATCAGTAGGTTGATGTTTATGTTGTTGTTTTGCACAGTACTAGTATGAGGTAAGTATTGTAAAACGTCAAGGATGTATATCACCATAGATTTAACTCAAAATAGTGAAACTTTTTACATTCCTTTGAGTGATAAGGAAGTATCTCCCAAAAACAGAGCCTTCAGTCTGCGGCCACAACCCTGCTAAGTGGGGCTGAGCGGTTGCGCACATCCCAGGCAGAGATGGGGAGACCTAACAGAAGTGTACCTGACTTTCACATTGAACTCCTGAGGCTTCGCCAGAATTGGAGGTTAAAAAAGGTTGGCAACACCATAATAGGAGACCTTTCATATCGTTCAGCTGGCTCGATGTTCAGACATGTAAGTTACCTTGCATACTTTTCTCTTTTTTTCTCTCTCTCTCAAAATGTAATACTCATTTTTTTTTTTTTTTTTTATAACATTAAGTTTTTAAAAACTTTAATCAGAGATTTCTTGAGTAGTCAGATATCAGCAAGTTTTATATATCAGTATTTGACTCAATCCTCACACCAAATCTAATATATATAGATGCAAATGTTGACTTGTCTTAAATTATTCTTCATTGCCAGACTGGTATTTTTGAAGTATCAAAAGCTGATGACATAGGAGGTCCAAGTACAGCAGTAGTACCTGGAGGAGCATCTCCTGTATCTCCAGTTGCCAATCGAAGCCATCAGTCTTCCCTTAGAGTTAATGTACCAACTGAACTGATGGGCTCTGCTTATATTTTTGTATGCATAAAAAAAGGTAAATTTAGTTTTTTAGTTCCTCATTTTATCTTATAGTTATTTATTTAGGCTGTAAAAAGCATGGGGAAATATAAAGTTTAGAAATATGCATAAAAATTGAAGCAAAAATAGACAAGTTTTTCATAGAAAGAAGTTCATGCAGTTTATAATGTTTTCTTTGTCTTGCCAAAAAATTATGGGTCTTGGTGTAATGATAATTATTATTTTAACAGCATCTACCATAGTCCATATTTTCTATTCTGACCAGTGTGAATGTTTATTAGCAAAGTGTTACTTCTTTCCAGCTCACAAGTCATGTTTTAGGGACAGTACACAATTTACTAAGGGCTTAACTTTTCTTTTATATGGAAGCTTCCTTGGTAATTCCAATTCACATCTATTTATTTTTCTTATCCATTTTTTAATATATGATACAATACTTAGGATATATTAGGGTAGTATTCTCTGTAACAGTTAAAATCTATATTTTTAGATTATTTTTTTCATTCCAGATGAAGAGGACATATGTTCTGCACAGTTAAGCAGTAGCGACTTTGTGTCTGTGGACACCCCATGGCAACAGAAGCTGGAAAAGGCACAGAATGTCTTATTTTGCAAAGAACTCTTCAGTCAGTTGGCAAGAGAAGCAGTCAAACTCACACCATCAATACCTCATCTTGTGGTTGGCAATCAGATCACAGCAACCATCTTCCCAGGAATCCACCTTTTAGTTGGTCTTTGTCACTCAGATGGAAAAAAGTAAGTGTTTCGTGTCAGTATTTTGTGCGTCAGTGTTGTTAATTGATATTTTTATCATTCGTTTTCTAATGAAATTTAATGTCATTTATACAGTTGGATACCTAATTGATATTCATTTAATAAGGGTACTGATTTTTATGCTCATTTTGTTTCAGCAATATAAAAAGTAAAACAAACCCTGCACAAGGACAAAATATGACAAACACAGGCACTGGTCCAATAGCAGGAGGAACCAGTGGTATGGGAGTTGGTGCCGGGCTGGGACCATCCAAGTACAAACATGAACATGATCTGGAACATTCACTACATCAGCTACTTCATCGTGTTTACCATAACAGTTTTCAACATCCTCTACCACATCCTGTTTATGCTCCAATGGGCATGTCAAAACGTAGAAGGTTAGCAGGACCTGAAGGAATGGACAGGAACCAGGTATATACAATAAATGCACATTAATTGTTGTTGTTGCTGCTGCTGTTGTTTTTTTACCTTCACCCTTTTTTTTAATCTTACATGATATATTGTTTTTTTTCTCAGTTTGATATAGTAATTGCATTTTCCAATTGCAGATGACTCAAATGACAAAGGAGAAGACCTTGCTAGAGCAGATAATAAGACAAGTACAACATAACTTCCTGAGGCTGAGAACAATGTATGTTATTGACCAGCTAGCTGCAGAATTCAAGGATCCTCTTATTGTCTCCCACTGGAATTCGTTCAATTCACCCACCCAGTCATCTGTGAAGATCAACATCTTGTCACAAGGATATGATTCTGTGGTCCGAACTAAACTAGTGTTCCACATATATGAAAGGACATTGAAATGCATTTGTAGGGATGGTAAGATCATGACCATGTCTTTTGAACCTCAAGAGCTCAGAAATCTTGTCTTGTGCCAGATCTCTCAACACAATATGGCTGCTGTGCAAGGTTTGGCTAAGTATACTGGATGGACTGTGTTATCATCTGAACAGAACATTGGCACAGGAGCCATTGAACCTTTAGGTAATGCATCCACAGTGATGTTAGCCTCTCCTTCAGGTAATAAGGTGATAGGAGTCCACTCTGGACCTCACCAGCGTGTATCTGTTTTTGTGTCGTCGTCTCCACGGCCAGACTTTTACCCTTCAACTGTTGTGATGGAACAAAGATGGGAGCATTTAGGAGCCAATTGGCAAGAGGTTCGATATGATCGTATGGAAGGCCGCAATTTTCTCAATAAGATGGAACTACTTATGGCAGCTCTGACTGCCTGAGAGTAGCTTCAAGTTAAGATTAGCAGACAATTAATATTTTCTCCTATATAGTAAAGAGGAATAAAATTATTTCTTATACAAATGCATATCCTTATGAGTTGTTAATTCTTTCTTTCTCTTTTAAGAGAAAAAATACTCTCAGTCAAGAGAAAGAGGGGAAAAAAACATTAAAGAAAAAGCTCCAAGGTATTAAGCAACCAGATTATATGTAATGACAACATTACTCCACCATCCATATCGATTCAACACTGAACGTAAAGTTCCAGCATACAAAAGATATTTTCTGGTAATCATTGTATTTAGCCAATTACCATTGTTGATGATTTATATCTTGAACTGAGAGATACAAATGATAAGGAAATTTCTTTTTCGTTTTTCTCTAAGTTAATTTTATGCCAAGAGAAAGGAAATTTACCAAAAACAGGTGTTTAGTTAAAAGCCATACAAATGATTATTTGGCATTATGTATAACAACATCGGTAGCTTTTGTTTACTTGTAATGAAAGCAATATTAGGAAGACAGTACCATTTGTTTCTTTATAGATTTTAGAACGGAATGTTATTTGCCATGGAAATAAGCCAATTAATAAGACTCCAATAAAAACAAGAAATCTTTTCACTGCTATCCTAATCTAGGATAATTAATGATAACCCCTCCCCCCATCCCTTATTCGTTGTTGTCACAGAGGCAGGGCTTAGGAAATGGAGACTGAGGCCCATTGTAGGGGATCACCCATACCGAGGACCTCAGTCCATTACTTATTGCTGTGGGGGGGGGGAGACTTAGAAGACGGAGACTGAGGCCCAGTGTGTTGGATCGTCCATTCCTTTGACCTCAGTTCTCGCCCCGACTAATTTTGCATGTTTTTTTCTTCTCCCCTTACTTTCTTCATTGCCTGTTGTCCATAAGGTGTGAGAGGCATGATGAAAGGGTGGCTTTTTGTCAGTCATGAACGGCCTCTGAGAGCCATGGGCACGGTATTCCCTTGGTTAATTGCCAAGCCCAACTCCTTAAGGGGACCCTGAGGGTAAACTGTTTCTTTTCCCCATTTACCTCGGGCTCACCATGGCCAATAATAAAGTTGTTTTATCCTTATAAGGGGCATTAAGACTTGCCCTTTCATCACCTAGCCTATTTAAATTTGATTTCATTGGTATACCGACCCCCGCTTCTGACCACGGCTCCAACCACTGATGCTAATACTCCCTCCTTGATGTTTCTGACAACCCTATCAATTCTGAACCACCCATCCAGGTCACTACTCAGCTTTCCTCCCTCCCAGCATTCTCCACTCCATCTACTGCTTTCTTCTTCATTGTCTACATCTTGCCTACTACTCTTCCTCCCAATACCTTGCTCGTTGTTGTGAGAGGGCATAGGAGACGGAGATTGGGGCCCATTGTATGGAATCACCCCAACCTTGGGCCTCAGCCCTCGTCTCAACTAATTTTGCTTGGTCTTTTCTTCTTTTTCTTTTCCGACCCCTGCCCCACCTTTAACCATGGCCCCGACCACCGATACTAATATTCCCTCCTAGACGCTTACTGACAACTCTATCCATTCCAAAACACCCACCCAGGTTATTACTAGACCTCCAGAAAGCACCCCTTCCTCTCTCCCAACATTCTCCTCTCCATCTCTACAATTATCTTCAATGTCCTCTTTCCTTAGTACTACTCTTCAATCTTATCGTCCTCCCCACCACTGAACTACTCCACTCCACACCACCCCATCTTCCTCTCGCCCTCGTCCTTCTACTGCCTCTACCTTCTGCAAACCTTTTGATTACTCTCTTTGGCCCAACCAAGTGGGATTGATTCTTTGTGATTCCTCCCAAGGTCTATATATGTATAAGTACTTATATAGACCTTGATTCCTCCCACAGTCCCATATTCTGAGAATACCCTACCCTTCTTACTCAACGGTGCCTCCAAACACATGTAGGCAAGGTTACCTTTCGCAGTCGCTCCGATCGTTCACACCTTGCAGCTACATCAGAATCCCAAGCTCGTGCACATTTACCGTAACTGACCTCACTGGCAAACCCACTCCTACCGAACCACACCTCTCTCTTAATACTTGTATTGGAACGGTTTCTATCCACCCAAATGCTTTTCCTATCTACAAGACTGATCAGAGTGAAAATGACCTACTTACCTGCCTTGCTGATTATGATGCAGTGGTAGTACAGTGTTACACTATTCCTGCCAGCGGCAAGCATAAGTCAATATTGCCAAGATTAGCTTCCATAGACATGACCTCCCCTATAAAGTATATATTGGTGAATTGTCCACTATGTTCGGCTACATCGATCACTTCATCGTCAATGTGAGAAATGATGGTGTTTTGGCCGCCCAGCCAAACACTGTCGCTCCACAGCCCGCTACCCTTTTTGTGTCCCACCTGGTCAGGACCGTTCAAATTACCCTGCTCAGTCACGTATATGTGCCAATTGTAGAGACTCCAGTAATGTATATTATATGAGTTGTCATGTCTATAAGGTTCAATGTGAGGTAGCAGTCCTCATATTCAAACTAGGCCTCACTCTACGTGAGGCCAGACAGGAAGGACGACATATTCCAACTTATTCAAATTTCTGCATCTCCCCCAGTATCTTTCCCCTATACCCTAAACCATTCTACATCTACTCACCCCATCCCCCAGTCACATTCATTTTCCAATCTAAATCCAGATATTCCCCGATACCTACCCCTCCTCCTCACTTTATTTGTCGCACCAGGCAACCTAAACGTTCCACTCCACCTCCCACAGCTCCCTCTTCTGCTCCTCAGATATATATCTCCTCTTCTCCTCCTCTTAAGAGAACCTTTGTTCTCATCCTCTTCCCCCAACTCCCCTCCAGAAACCTTTGAAGACATCCCAAACTTCCTAAAGATGATCCAAGGGAACACTCCACTCCATCATCACCCCGCCCCCCCCCAAACCTGTTGCTACCTTTAAAGCATTTTCAGATATCCATCCTCCTCCTCCTCAAGTTCCCTCCACCCCCCTGCTGCTTCCACCTCTGCAAACCTTTTGAGTATTCTCTTGGCCCAGCCAAGTGGGATTTTTTGCGATTCCCACTGCGGCCCCTGACCCTAACTATACCCTTCTCTACCAACGATGTCTCCAAAAACAAAGGCGAAGTTTCCTTTCGCAGTCGTTTTGATCGTTCACGCCTTATCACAGTTCATTTCAATCCAGTTAGATTTGCGAGGTCTAGCTTCGCCCGGGCCTTGTCTCTTGAGTGGCCCGGCCTGTGTTAGCTATTTCTAGTTGACTCTTGTCACAGTCAGGGTCTTTAAATTCTATAGACCTTGGTCACAGTTACGTCTGATTCCCAAGCTCGTGCACTATCTACCCTGACTGACCTCACTGGCAAATCTATTCCTTCCGAACCTCACTCCTCTCTTAATACTGTACCGGAACTGTTTTCGTCTCTCCGGCTGATTGTCTTGTCTACAAGGACTGGTCAGATTGTGAAAACGACCTGCTCGCCTGCCTTTTGGACTATGATGTAGTGGCAGTAGTGATGCATTATTCCTCTCAGAGGACAGCGTAAGATCTACTCCCTCATGAAGTTTATACCATTGGAGTCTCCTGCCCCATGAAGTTTATGGAGTCTCCTGCCCCATGAAGTTTATACCATTGGAATCTCCTGCCCTATCCGGCCATATCGACCCCCTTCCCCATTGATATCAGAATTGGCGTTTTGCTCACCCAGCCCTAGCCGCTTCACAGCCTACTGCCTATGTGTCCAACCTTGTCAAGACCGTTCAAAATACAATGCTCAATCACGAACGCGTGCCAATTGTGGTGGCTCCCATAATGTATTGGATAACAGCTGCCCTGCCTAGAAGCTTGAATGTGAGGTAGCAGTTCTCAAATTCAAACTAGGCCACTCTGTACGTAAGGTCAAACAGGAAGCACGCCGAAAAGGATTCTCTCTTCCTACCACCTTAAGGTCTCTGCATCTCCTATAGTATCGCTTTCCTCTACCCCGAACCATTGTACCTCTAGTCCCTCTCTTCCCCAGTCAAATTTTTTCCAGTCTAAATCCAGATACTCCAATCTCTACCCTTCCTCATCGCTCCGCCTGTCGCACCAGGCAGTCTAAAATGTCCGCTCCATCTTATCCTACCACATCCTCTCCTTGGATGTCTATCCCTTCTTCTCCTACTCACAAGAAAACCTTTGTTTCTCACACCTCCCTAAAGAACCTCCCTCCAGAAACTTGAAGACATCCAAAACTTCCTAAACATGATACAAGAAAATGCCCCCTTTCGCCATCCGCCCTCCAACCTCAATTCCTATTCACTCTACATTCAAAGTATTAGCCGTTATCCATCCTCCTCAAGTTCCCTTTACCCCTCTTCCTCCCACTCTTCCCCGAAACACCCCATCCTCTCCTACTCCATGTGCACCACCGTTCTTTCTTCTTTCTCCTTTATCTACTTGGATGATCACGCAGGGTCCTGTTTTATATGATTTTTTTTATTTGTGACCTTAAAAAGTTAATAAACGGAGCCTTTTCTGTCGCAGGTCTTAAAATGTCTTATATTTATATTTGCAGATAAATGTACATATCTGTTATATCGGAAATAATTTGTCAACATTAGACCTTTGCTTATCAACGCGACCGTTTACGTATGGGTCGTGTGCAAAAAAAAAAAAAAAAAAAAAAAAGAAAAAAAAAAAAAAAAAAAAAAACTGGTGCGCAATCTATCCGAAAGGTGTAAAAATCGTCAGGGTGAATTTTGGTTACTGACACGTAAAGTAGCCGTACACATTATGAGGAAGTGGCTTCGGGTCTTAAAAAGCAATTGGTATGAATCTTAAAAAGTCTTAAAAAGGTCTTAAATTTCATCAGCTTATACCTGCAAGAACCCTGTCACGTGACTCCCTTATATTGCACGTGTCCCCCGGATCCTTCCCCTTCCTGACATTCTTCCTAATGCTTCACCACCTTATGTTCACGTACCTCATTATCTGGATTTTCTACTTCATGAACTGCCATTTCTACCCATATCATCAGCTGATTGTTTTATAGTGGGTATTTTGCAGTTTTCATTGTTGCTCTCCCTTCTTCAGAGACATATACTGTTAAAAATATCCAAATTCATATGCAAATATTTAATTCGGATGCTTGATGGACTGTAAAAAGTGACTGCAGCAGAAAAGTCTTTTTCAAAATCATGCGTGGATATTTGATTTCCACAACCCAAGAACAAAAAATACACCATTAGAACTGACAGGTGCATTCATGGCACTTATTGCGTATAATAAGAGTATCAAAAAGTCGTTTCTTTCACACCTTGAGTGCTACTGTAAGAAAGAGAAAGAGAGAAAGTAAGAGAGTGAGATATCGAGAGAGAGAGAGAGAGAGAGAGAGAAGAGAGAGAGAGAGAGAGAGAGAGAGAGAGAGAGAGAAGAGAGAGAGAGAGAGAGAGAGAGAGAGAGAAGAGAGAGAGAGAGAGGGGGGGGAGGGGGTGAACAAATAGATAAAGAGAGAAATAAGAGAAGTGAGAGAGTGAGAGAGGGAGTGAAAAATAAAGAGAAAGAGAGAGAAATAAGGAAGAGATAGATAAAGAGAGCAGGGGGGGGCGAGGGATGGGATCAGGGTGGGAGGGAGGAAGGTAGAGAGAGTGTGTGAAAGAAAGAGAGAGAGGAGAAACAGAAAGAAAGATAGATAGAGTGAGTGAAAAAAGAAAAAGAAAACAAGGAGAAATAGAGAAAGAAGGAGTAACGAGAGAGAGAGAAGAGAGAAGAGAGAGAGAGATAGATAGAATAGAGAGATAGAGAGAGTGAGTGAGTCAGAGAGCAGGGAGTGAGAATCAGAGGGAAGAGAGAGGAAGAGGAGAAAGTAGAAGATGAGAGAAGGTGTGTGTCGAGTGGAGAGAGAGAGAGAGAGAGAGAGAGAGAGAGAGAGAGAGAGAGAGAGAGAGAGAAGAGAGAGAGGAGAGATGAGAGAGAGAAGAAGAGAGAGAGGAGGAGAGAGAGAGAAGAGAGAGAGAGAAGAGAGAAGAGAGAAGAAGAGAAAGAGAAAGAGAAAGAGAAAGAGAAGAGGAAAGAGAAAAGAGAAAGAGAGAGAGAGAGAGGAGAGAGAGAGAGAGGAGAGAGAGAGAGAGAGAGAGAGAGGGGGGGGAGAAGGATGTCATTTACAAATAAAATGATTTACAACAATTTGTATAGAAAATGGTTAAAACCTAGAACAAGAGATTATGTTTTTAAGTATATCTTAAAAGTCCATAATTGTTATCTATTTAGATACGCATTGCAATGGAGTACGATAACATTACTATCCCGTACGACATGCAAACAAACCCACATGTTATTTTACTTTACTTCCCGGTCACATAATAAAGCTTCTTGCAGTAAAAGTTAGAATGATCTATTAACGTTTATGCAAACCGATTAAATATTTTAAAATTATTGCGATGCACTGTTATTTTCAAGATATTTTGTAGATGTAATCACAGAGTGATATATAATTAAAATCTCGATTAAACGAATCCTGTACGTCTTCTCAGATGTAAACATTAACAGCAAAACACAGCAGTTGCAGAAGCTAGCACATTTTACTATTCAACCGACCCTAGCATAGTCTGACACATGCCCGTCGGTCCTGATGGATTTCGAGTGCCAAATGCTAATGAAGGTGACTCGAAAAATAAATTGGAATGGGTATGTAATCAAATTATTTGCTTCAAAACTTAAATATACAGTTCAGCTTAGAAATGATTGGTGTAGCTTGTCAGAGCCTAAGTCTTCAACTCTATATTACAAAATTTAATAGATAATCAATATTGCCATGATTGGTCGTGGCCGAAGGGATGACTGATCGGGGGCTCTGCCACTCAACATCCCCTGACAAATATTGTATTTACCTTGGCATGTACAGCAGGATAGAGCAGAAACTCAGGAGCACGGAGTGGCAGTGAGCAGTGCTTTCCTTGATAATTTTCCTTTTATTGTGGTATTACTATTCATGTCTCCAGATTATTTCTTACATTAACAACTGCAGTGTGTTGACTTTAAAAAAATACCATCTTTAGTTTGCTCAAACATCCATATTGTATATATTATCCATAACTTTTTAGATCATGTCTGCATCTTAAAACTCATTGAATTTTTGATAATTGAACTTCTATTGACATCAAGCCAAAAATATTTAAAAAATAATCAGTGTGACTTATAGATACACTCAATTAAAAAAACATGTAAAACCTCCCATAACAATTCACAGTAACAAGATTTTGCATTCTGGACGGGGTGGAGAACCAAGCTCCCTAACAATGGGAAGAATACAGTAATAACTACATCAACTAGCCTTGTCATTTTTGTTGTTTAGTGCCAGCTAAAACCATGATAAATGCACAAGTGACCCCATGAATCCAGTGGTAACTAATTTTTATGGTATTAGATGCACATATGACACAGAATTTACCCTGAAAAGTAATGAAAAAACATAGTATTTGGATATTCTCTACTAATATTATCACTTGATATTCTAATATATATCCTTTCATCATTCTTAGTTTTAGTGTCTCCTACAAGAGTCCTAAAAAAATGTTCTCTTCCATTTTACAATTATTTGAAAATTGAAGATTTTCTCTCTGTTTAGTGACAGTTATGTACATATTTGTATATTTACTTTACAGCTGGTGGGGCCAGGGCAAGATGAATATTGCCGTACTTTTGTAATCAATGAAGAAGACCACACACTAGGAAATGCATTGAAACACATAATTGTACAAAAGTAAGAATAATTTATTGTCTTTCATAATACAGTATGATGTTTTTATGTATATAAAGTAAAGTACTTTTATTTGTTTTTGATAACATAATACCATCATATTATCTAATAACATTTCTTATGTACACTTCATTACTTTACAGCCCAGCTGTCTCATTCTGTGGATATACAGTGCCTCATCCAATGGAACGCAAAATACATGTTCGTATACAAACAAATAAAGTTCCAGCAGTCCAAGTACTTCGACAAGCACTAAAGGAGCTGAAGGAACAGAATGAATTTATTAGACAAATGATTAAGGTAAGTAAAAATGGGTGGGCCACCACACCAGTGTTCTTCCAGCTGGCAATATCCTTCCTTATTACCAATTTTATTAGAAAATGTGCACCCACCAATGAATATTAACAGGACTGTACCCTAAACGTTCAAATCTTCAAGGACCTGCACCTCAGTGCTCTCTCTGCTGGGAAATTAGTGGCCTACACCCCTTTTATAAAAAATAAGTAGGAACACCTGTGTGGGAATGCAAGTAACGAAAGCTTAAGGATTCAAATTTTAATAATTCTGACAAAAAACTTGTCTTCTTTAGGGAATTTTAGATAGAAATACTTTTTCTGACTGAGCAGGATATCTGAGAATATAAAATCCATAAATAACAAAAAAAGTATATAAACTTTAATAAATGAAAATCACATATTGCCAAAAATAGTGAATAGTGTATTATTCAGGGGGTAGCACACTTTGAAGAACCTATGCTTCCACATAGTAACTAGAATTATGAATTACAGCTTTATTTTTTTACCCACAGGATGAAGTTAAAAGATATCAGGAGGCTCATCCAGAGGAAGAGAATATGGAATGATTATGTCTGATTAAGAAGTAATGATTAAGTTGTATGTCATTAAGTAGAGTTTAGGTACTCTTAAATAAAATGTCATAAAAAATGCACTTTAATTAATAAAACCCAGTAAATGTCTTGTTTTTACTAGAACATTTCTAATGTTTTCGTATTCACTATTAATGAAAAGTTTTCAAGGCCTTGTCTATGGAAAGGCAGCATAATTTTCAAGACAAAAATAAGTCATTTGAAAATTACAATATCTTAAATCTCTTTCTTAATGGTAATGACTGGTATTTTTTAAAGAATCCATCAACCTATTGGATAAAGGTGATTAACTGTCATGCCATGCAAAAATTTTTGCTTAAGGGTGACAGGAATATGCTGTCATGCAAAACTTTGGCTGAGGGCCAGAGTAACAGAAATGACTGCTCATTAGTGCAGAAAGTTGTTGGAGGAAGTGAGATGCTATGGGCTTTTAGGAAGGGGCTATTGCATTATTTCCACCTTCTCTAGGAAGGACAATATTGTATTTCCTTGCTCAGGATCCTTCTCCTGTCCAACATAACCAGCAGCATACGTGTGTTACAAGAAAATTGAATGATACAAAAATATTTTTAAAATAACATAAATACGACAAGGAAAAAAAGTCTATAGATATCTTGATACAGTATATCAATGGAAAATTGTAAACCTTGGAAAATGTCAAAAAAACACTAAAGAGAGATGCTAGTGTTGAAAGGTCTTGATACAGCATGAGTGTTTCATTTGGGTTGGGAATACAAGCCACACACATGGGAGTGTCGTCACTCAAGTAAGCCTAATTCCCAGATTTCGGTCCACCTGTGAGCCATGAGGCACCTGGATCCAACGGATTAAATTGGAATTGCTGCTAGTTGTTTTACATGTCTGCCACAGAAAAGTGGAAGTGTAGTATGAATATCATAAAGTTTATTTTGACTTATACAGAAAAAGTAAAAATGAAACTAATAATGCTACTTAACAAGAAATGTTATTTTTATATGGATTTTACATCTTCAACATATGAGATTCTAATGTGAAATTGAAACTTCAGTTACGTAACTTTAGTTCTCAAAAATGAGGTGAGTATTTGACACTGCTAACCTGTTTGCTGACCTGCTAAAGCCTGAAATTTCAAGTCATGAAGTCAAGAATTCAAGAAATTATTTTCACTTGCCTGTCATAAACTCCCAAATATTTCCAGTGTAGCACTGTACTGATACTGTATCCTAGTCAACAAGGCAGGAAATCAGGTCATTTTCACATTCTGACCAATTATTCTTGTAGACAGGACAATCAGTCAGGGAGATTGAAACAGTTACAGTACAAGTAATAAGGGAGGAATAAGGCTGGGTAGGAATAGATTTGCTAGTGAGGTCAGTCAGAGTAGATAATGCATACAATTGGGACTATGATGTAACTGTGACAGGGCGTGAACAATCGGAGCGGCTGTGGAAACTGCCTACTTCTTTTTGGAGACATTGCTGGAAGAGAAGGGTACTGTCAGAGTAAGGGGCTGTAGGGGGAATCATAAAATATTGATCCCACTTGGCTGGGATAAAAAGAGAGCTCAAAAGATTTGTAGAGGAGGAAATAGCTGAAGTGCGAAGAAGGGAGGAAGAGGGAGTGGTGATGAATGAGGTAATACTGCGGGAAGATGTGCAGTAAGGATGAAGGTTAATATGGCAGGAGAGGTTTGAAAATTTAGGCTGTGGAGAATGAGGATATGGAGAGGAGGATTTTGAGAGAGAAGAAGGAATGTTTTCTGAAAGTTAGGTAATGACCAGAGTTGTGATCTAAGGAGAGCCAGAGGTCAACAAACCAGAAAGGATAAGTCAGTGGGGCTTGTTGATAAAGGGGCAAGCCTCATTGCCCCTAATGATGTTACAAAATCATTATTGTCCATGGTAAGCTTGGAATATATGAGGAAGAGAAATGATCCACTCCTCAAGGTCCCCATTCAAGGTAAGGGCTTGGTATCTAAGGGAGAATACTGTGATATAATAATACCATTACCTTTTGTTTTCCATAGTCAAATATTTATATATATTAGGAATATCTTGAAGGTAAATCAAAAGTACAATTGAGTTTATTTGTATTTAAAAACAGTATATACATGTCTACTAGATATAGAAAACAGTGAAATAGTTTCCACATGTTAAAGGCTTTCATTTAATAACAAAAGTGAAAAATATTTCTCCATCAAATTACCAGTCACAAGCTATAATTTATAAAAAGTACCAGATGATGATATTGTGATGTTTATGCTAACAGTTCATGACATTAAGAGAAGATTAAGGGCCTTGGTTGTTCTGAAGATCATCCTGACCATGAGCATAAACACACAATGTTGATGGTAGGGGGCAGCCCTGAGCATGATTACTGTGAAACCAGCACTGTTTAGTTTTTACTCGATTCTTTGGTACTTTTCCCATCAATGTTGGTGAAGGAACCTGAAAGTCATAAAAAATTAAATTAATGTATTTGGTTTTCCTGAAAGATTTATATTTTTCACCGAAGAAAAAACTTCTTCCAAACAATAATGTTTCATTATTCCTTTTTTCTACTGCAATATAAAGACCATCTGTTAACCCACTGTTGCTGGGGCTGCAAGAATACATGCCATATACACTGTCTTTTTACTTACTGAATATCTTTACACACAGATAGCTCTACTGGTGCATATCTCCAAGGAGTCACTAGTCTTAGCTCACCTGCCTAAGCTTTCTATTTATGTTTTGATTTTTTTTATTATAATTATTGCTAAGAACATTAAAGTAATCACAATGTCAGCAACAATATTAACATTCAAGTTAAAAATATTAAAGAAAAAACAACAACAATTAAACTGAGGACACATGAGCTTACTATAAGTGACTGAGCACTTGTGGAGCCATCTATGCTCAAACAAATTGCACAAAAGAAAACAGCAGGCAGTGTGTGATTATCCAGCACACTGGGTAAAATTGAAGATTCTCAACCTTTGTATTTACCTGCAAACTGACTTCTCCCTTCAAAGTGGAAAATATATGCTTATGATTCCTCAGAAAAGTTTGTAGACCTCCACACTCATTTTTCAATGCCGATAACTGTCTGGGAGACATTCTTTTTGCTAAATCGCCTAAGACAATGCTGCCTCCTCTATCCCATTTCAGTATGCTGTTTTCTGTTGAAGGAACCTAAAGAAAGAAAAAGTAAGTGTATTATTTTTTTTTTAATAATAAACATATTCTGTGATTTAGTATTAAAAAAAAAAAAAAAAAAAAAAAAAAAAAAAAAAAAAAAAAAAAAAAACATTCTTAACTTAAAACTGTTATAAGACTCATAAAAACAACGAAATGAGATCTCATCTCACTTACCTCAACTAAATGTTTTTTTTCCATGAGTATTCCTACAACTGTTGATATGAGATCTTCTTTCACAGTTTGGTCCAGTTTTGTACAATTACGCACTGGCTGGATGGCTTCTCTTGCTTTGAAATTGTTTGACCAAAGTTCAGAATCCAGAGTTTCCCTTGCATTATTTTGCAAGCTAGTCTCATGCTTTCCATTTGAAGCCTGATTTACTAAACTATTAGCATTAGCTTCATTTCTAATTCTGATAAATTCCTCTACTGCCTTAAAAATCCTAGGCATCTCACTTTCTACATAGGTTCTCTCTTGACCAATAAGACATATTCTCTTTGTTGATGGAATTCTCAACTTGTCTTGCCACATTTCAAAACCACATATATCTCCTACTTCCTTTACATAATCCAAATATTCTGAGTACTGGCTCTTGCTAGCTGTTTTCCTTCTATATTTACAATCAAAATCGTGGGCACAACATGGAATAACAAAGAAGCGAGTTGTAAATTTTGACTTGGCAGCAATGACAGGTAGCCATGGGGTTAGTTCATCTGAGTGGTTGCCAATGAGCCAATCAAATTCTGGAAACAAATTTTTATCTGATGGCTCAACAACTCCTTCCTGGAATAAAACCAATTTCTTCATTATATTTCTATACTTACTATTGCTAAACAGTAAATATATATCATATAAAGGATTTTTTACAAAAATATGTAAAGATTATGAATACACTTGAAGATCTTTTATCCTTTTCCTTTCTTTTCAAAGCATACTGCAAAAAAATATGATCAAAGAAATGATAGATGAAGAACATACTTAACCAAAAGTAAAGTTCTAGGCTACAACTATGGTTAGCATTACAATGAATTTGGTATCTGTCTTACTACTGTATTCTACTTTAAATCATGCATATATTTAACATTCATACAATGCATTGTATGAATTAAATTATCAATCATAATTTCATTACATGTATAAAAAACAGTTGTCATCCACTTCATCATAACTTTGTAATGAAACTACCAATATCACCATTTGCTATGCATTTTACAAAATCATCTGCACTGTAACTGCTGTAGTAAGGTAGACCACTGAATAAAAATTTAATCTTACCTTCAAGTTTACATTCTCTGGAAACATATCCCATATGTTCCGTTTCTTGAGGTCTATTCCAATGCCTTTATAACCTTCCATTGTTAAAATGTAAACAAGTAGTCCATTCCCACACCCAAGATCAGCAAATGTCTGATATTCTGTTTGTCCCTTTTTCTCTCTCTCTTGTTGCCAAAGGAGAATCAAGTATGTGGCTATAGCAACGTCTTCAAATACAAACTTTGTTGGGTCTGTTACTTCTGGCCACATCTGGAAATACATCTCTATTATAAGTCATACAGACCATAAAGAGACTAAAACTTCAAACATTTATGTAATTTTCTCCATTTTCTGTATTATTATTTTTTTAAGAACAAACAATGTGAAAATATGCTCATGTCTTTATTTTGGTATAACTAGCTTCTTACTTCACTTAGGTATGTTGTGATAAGCATTATATGTTCATAAACTTTTAGGACACTTTTTGACATTAAGATTTAGATAATATATAACTACTGAATAAAATTCAATCAGCATCATCAGTACTTTTAAGAAAAAAACTTATTAAAATTTATGAAAACTTGCCTCAACAAGTGGTTGCCCATATTTAATCTTGAGTTTCTGATATAAACTGTTATATTCTTGT